CAAAAATCTTGTATATTTTAAGATATATATATAATATATATTTCCAGATTAATACAAAAAAGGCTATAATGTTTTTGTAACTCAGGTTTTAAAGTTTACTTGGAAAGATGTAATCCTTTAATTATGACTGATTATTTTTATTTTTTATGAATCAACTATATGAATGGATGAATTTCTCTGAAAAAGTTTATTCACTGTACTTATTAATTATGAAATGGTGGGTTGTCTGTAACCACTTAGGAGTAACGTAGATTTTTTTTCTTTTCATTTTCATGAAGCAAGTATTTACAAAAATAAATATTAGTTTTCATACATTCTCAGATAAAAGTACTTAGTCTTTTAACTTGCATGTGTGTGTATCTCATCTTGAACTATTATTGTAAAGCAAAGCTTTCACTGTTTTCCACACATTGTACATTTTGCATCAGATGTAAGTTGCTGTACTGTAAGAGAAAGAATAAAGTAATGCACTTGTAAATATTGCTTAGTAGCCTACTATATTTCTACTGAGATCACTTACTGATCCTCAGTTTATTTTATGAATTGTACAGTAGAGTTATTTTGCAGACCAAAATTTAAGAGATTCATTCTTTCATAAAAAATAAAAATTACCTATTTTGTTAGTGTCTATACTTTCTCTTATTTTCTTTTTTTCTTATACAAATTTTCTAGCTGTTGTAAATATGCAATGTTCAATGACATCTACTTTCATATTAGGTTGTTCTTAATTGTAGAAATGTAACCTATATATATAAACAATATATAGGTTACTATATAAACTAACACACTCAATGTACACATACACAATGTTGATAAGAACTCCGATTGTAATAAAACAGAATGTTGCAACAACTTTGCAAAAGAAAGAGGACCATAAGTTTTAAAGAACAATGTTAGTTATGTGATAAATCACAATGATTTCCATGGTTTTTAGTCTTTCATCCAATGTTATAATTTTCAGTGTGGAAGATACGTGAGCTTGCTAGTGGTACAGACTGTTTAAAAATACTGCTACGAAAAGAAAGATGAAAGATGTTTTATTGTTCTTAAAGGTTTAATAACTAATCTGAGTACATGGTATATAATATAGGTTTATACACTACTATTTTCTTTAACATATATTAAGTAGTTTATATGTTGTTATTTTTTTCTTTGTTTGTTTAACTGTGTTCTTAGTTTGTATTGTGGTAAAAACATCACAATACTTAAAAGCTATTTTTCCAATAATGCTTCCAAGAAATGCACAAGTTTGGCATGTCTATAACAGAGGCTGAATTATAAACAAAATGAAACCATTACTCACTGTATTTATAGACATAAGTTAAAAATAATTGTAATCAGGACTTCAGACTAACTCTTATTGGCCACTGGTGAATGTTTGCCGATTACTTTCAAAACTACTTAAAGTGCAAACCACAATGATGTGAATTTTCCAGGAAGTGGTGTATTTTCAGTTTGATATTTTTTGACATTAAATTTGAGATCTTTACAATAATACTTACATTTCCTAGTAGGAACTGGGAAAAAATATTAAGCATGTAAAGTATCATTTGAATGCATTGTTTTCACTTGCTGTTTTAAACTTCAGAAATCCAATTCAACTATCCACGAGAATGGTATACGGTAAGCTACCGAAAAAAGGCTTATCAATTGATTATCATAGAATGGATTCTCCCATATGTTATGAAATGTGCTTTTAGTCAGGTTTTGAAAGTTTTTTATTGTTTACAACTGAAAGTTCAATGTTCATAATCAAGCCTGGATTATTAACTGGCAAATAAATACGAAGGCTATATGTTGGGTGGAAACTGACTAAATGCTAGAACCCACTGGTTTTTGTGCCTGCTAGCCATCACAAATTGAGCCATGATATTTAAGAAAAAGGTTTAGTTCAACTTACTCAATGTACAGAAGTAAGCAAGCCAAAATCATATGAGCACAAAAATTACCATTGTTAAAAATCACAACACACACACACACACACACACACACACACACACACACACACACAC